AAACATTGACGTTGAAAAGAAAGGATATTTCAAGTCAATCTAATGAGGACAGGTATCAAAGGTAGGTACTGTGCCCTACACTCTTTGTCTGGCTGCACAGCTGCTTCCCCCTGGCCTCGTCCACCTCACTAGCAACACTATCACGAGCAAGCGTCTGCTGTGCATTCAGGTGTGTGTGTGAGTGTATGTGTATAAACGTATGTCCTAAGCTTTAAATTTAAGTCGGAAAATCACATGCAGTGTCTAGATACACTATAATATATACTGGATGTTTGAATACATTATTAGCTCTAGGTGTTATATACCTAAACATCGTGTTTCTGTTCCACTCCAAAGCCCAGATGACAGGCACTCTCTGACCGCTGACCCCACCAGCATGAAGCCGGCATCGCAGGTAAAGATGGCTGTAGCACCAAATGTTGTCTGAGTACCAATCTTCTTCCCATTGGGTGGAGATGGCAGCTCACCGCAGGATATAACTGAAACACACAGGCAGACACAAGCAATTTAAAAGCAGTTGTGCACCAATTTAGCACCAAGTTAATTTGAGTAGCTGTTAGAGCTCATTGGTTTCAGAGAGGAATGCTACCAATGCTGGCAAGCTGTTCATCACACAAATTTGGAGCCAATTTAGTTTTTTCCCCCCAACACTCAGAAATAACTGGTGAAGAAAATAACAGTAAATTTTCAAATGTCACAGAATTCTTTAAAGAAAAAACAGCATCGATTCAAAATGTCAAGAAAGCCCAAGAAGAAAAATAATAGATGACAATAAAATGTCAAGGCATCTCTTTCAGGTTAGAGCATGGATTGGTTTTCCTTGTACATTAACTCAGTCATCACGAAATTCAATAAAATTAGTAGAAATAAAATAAAACTTAAATCAAGACAATTAAGCACACAGTCAAGTATTCTTCGAGCAAAAGCTGTGCACTGTCATTTGCGTTTGTGTGCTTATTGTTATTTTATTGCTTATTCTACAGGGGGTTATGTACTGTACTACTTCTTCCACAAGAGGAGAGTCACTGCTCAGAGCCAATATAACCCCTTTCTTTTTAATAAACGTATGCAAGAGTAAATGATTCCTATTCTTATCGACAGTAAATGGCAGTATGTGTAGATATCAGAGTAAATACACAAAAAGTTAAAATAACTTAACTCGGTACATTAGGATCGGAACATTGGTCACTGGTGATGTTGCTCTTTAGTTTCAGTGTTCATTAAAACATCATATGTCTTTGTTACTCACCCTGGCAGTGTGGTCTCTCATTTCTCCAGCTCCACACACCAGTGGGTAAGCACTGGATGTGGGCGGGTCCTAATCTGTAGTATCCCGGATCGCAGGTAAACACAATGCGAGTTCTGTATTCATAGTGTGAGCCGTTGACAATCCTCCAGCGTCCGTGCTCCAAAGAAAATGACCCTATGCTGGGACACACCACCACTGCAGAGATAGACAGAGTGTGTAAAGGAAATAAAGCCTCGTGGATTGCACTCACATTTAAAAAACAAAAACAAATTTTAGAATAGTGTCAGCTAGTAATTAGTAAGCTGAGAGTGGGGCCAAGCCACTGTAAAAAATCTCAAAGATACATAATAATGACTCAATTTAAATAACAATGTCCTTGCCAAAAATGCCTGCCACTCATTGCTGTAATTACATGTTTCTTACAAACTAGTCTATCCATTTTACTCAGTGAAAGATGATTATTTTATTTTCATGGCTTAAACAATGTAGTATTTCATATTTCTGTGTGTTTTAAATGACGCCCTGAAAATCTCACTGAAGTCTTTACATTCTTGGCTTTACAACAAAGTGTATCCAAATCAGTAACACAATCAGATGTGGTATTTATATTGTCCACTGACATTTATGTGTTACTAACCAGAACATCGTGGTATCTTATTATGGTTGCTCCATGTTCCATCAGGCTGACAGATGGCTGACGTCAGTTCTTTACTGGACAGTCTGTACCCATCGTTACAAAAATAGGAAACTCTTGTTCCGACGGAGTAGTCAGCTGTTAAAACGCCGCCATTTATAGGAGCCTTGGGTGCCCCACATGAGACAGCTAGGGGAGGACAGATACACACTGGTTAAGAAGACAACATGCAAACAGACACGCACAGAATCCCTAATGCACACTTATGTCTGTCAGGCGCGCAGGTTTGATGCGTACTTTGTTTGAAATGTTTCTGGGAATTCAAAGTGTATTGTATATTTGTAAACCAGCTCCCATATGAAGCTATCAAACTAAAAATATACAATCAAGAGATGCTTGATCTCTGGTTCCAATCAGTTCTAACAAAATACATCCACATCTTGCTGAACATGTTGCTCCACAGTCCACAGTGGTTTTAAATAGACTGGTTTGTAGAGCACCGCACCGTGTAATTACACAGTGTCGACAATCTGCTATACATCCTTCATTTGACTTTCTATCAATACCAGCTACGAGCTGAGCCTTCCTATGGTTATTTAATGTGTGGGATTAGACAATAGCAGGTAGAACATTAAAACTTCTTCAGGGTCTTTGGAGAACATATTGTAGTATAATCGGAAAATACCCATACAAAAAGATAATAAGAAAGAGAAATAAAAGGCACTTGCATGAAAATCATAGTCATTTTTTAGCATTAATGTTTCTTTTTTTTTAAATCAAATGGATGTAATTTATGTGTGTAACTCAAGCCCCCTGATATGAACAATGCACCAGGCATTTTAATCACTTGAATGTGGAATTTCAACTGTGCTTAAAGTAGAAAAAGGTTTTCAAGGTTTTATAGCAGAGAAAAGGAGAAACTTAGTTGTGTTTTCTACCATAACCTTACGATACATCAGCAGTACTATTAGTATTAGCCACATTAGCTACAAGGCAAGTTAACAATTACCTTGCCTGATTGTCATATTTATTTAACTGTCCAGTGTTAGTTTGTCTGTGAATAGTTAACTAAGTTCAGCTCTTCGTTAATCAATTTCTTTCAATTTTCAATATTTCAACTAAACTAGACATGAGTTGCAAATGTGCTACTAAAACTACCAAATTATTACTTTACAGACTATAATTTTCAGTATTTTTCAGTGTATGCTTACACATTTTAAACTTTTTCATACAAATGACATACCATATATTCAAAACACTTCAGTGCAGTTTAGCTTGAAGTACAAACACATTCCCTAACACATATAGACAAACACACCTTGACATGCAGGTACAGGAGAGTCCCATGCGTGGTAGCCGAGTGATGTGCGGCGGCAGGTTGCCGTGGCGTTGCCTATGAGACGGTAACCACGGTCGCAAGCCCATCGCACCACACTGTTGACATGGCCGCCGCTCTGCGAGGAGATGGAGCCGTGGAGCGGAGAGTCTGGTGTTGAGCAGTAAAGTGCTGGAGTGGAGAAAAAAAAAAAAGACTTGAAATGTTCTCTGAGGAGGCATTTTTTACCACTATATAGTACAGTAGTATGTTCTCCCCATAATATTATACATACTGTTAATTAGTCTAGCAGAGCAGGAAACAGATGTTTGTGCCTTCACATCAATGCAGAGATTAACACATAATTTGTCTGCATGTTGTGCATTATAATAACCATTAACAGTACTGTAATAAAAGTCTCAGAAGGTTTTAGTGTTATTGACATTATAGTCAGTTGAGATAATTTCCCTATATTAATATGAATCACTACTGTATTTATTACACAATAGAAAGCCCAGCCAAAATGACTAATGGCAAATGTATCATGTTTGCGTGTAAATTATCATTTTTACTGACCACAATTATGATTTTCATTGTGTATTTTAAAAAAAAGTGCTGGAGGCATAAGATGGAGTAGGAAGCCGTCACTCTGCTAAACTAAACTTCTGTGAGCAGAAATATTAATGACCACATCCATAACTTTGATTACACTAGTGCAGCATGTCTTAAAACCCAAATTTTCCAGCCAATTAGGATCTATTGAACAAGCTGTACGAATGCTAACTTAAATAAATAGTCTCTCTTGGCAGAGCTTTTGGACTGAACAACCAACGAGCACAGTTACAGTAGGTGTCAGACATTGCTGGACACTCTGCTCACAAAGTCTTTAATGGCTTTATGCGATTTTATGAAATATTCTTATACCAAGAAACATCAATCCTTTACTCCAGACAATACTGGCAGCTGCAAGCAAAACAAGAGGGAATCCTGCTGTAACCGCCAACAACCTGGGCAACAAGTTTAACATTGTCTCAAGTTTCTGAGTCAGTTATCAATAGATTATTAGCTTATACAATTATGTCAGTATCTCATATGAGTTAGTTACCAAAGTAATTAGTTTACTTAGGCCTGGGTATAGTTAGATGTTGACTTGGGCAAGTTGCCTGGTCTGTAACTCTTCAAACTGGACAAGGGTCCAAAAATAGTTCTTCACTGGCCTTATTTATCAGTGATATAAGCCTGTTTGGATATGTCCGTCTGTTCTGCCACTGGCCCATTATTATCTGTGTAGCAGGTTTTTGAAAGAGAAAGGGCTGATATAACTGAACTGACATTAAGGCAAAGCAGCCAGCTAACAATCTCTCATTAGATCCAATCTTGGCTCTTTCCCCTATAGTATTTTTAAGATTGATAGCATTGAACTGCCGATTTCAGTCTTACAAGGGCTTTTTATATAATAGAAATGCCATCTTATCTTGTTATAATGACAAAGTTTGTCTTATTAATGAGAAAACTTTCATTATAACTTTAGTGTAAAATTTTCTTTTTTTGTAATTAAAAACTGAGCATATTTTGTTTTCTCACACTGACTACGTTGTCATATCCCGACCTAAAAAAAACAACTCATTAATGAATATGAATCATGATATTAGTAGGCTTACAACATATGTTTAACCATCCTTGCAAATGCTCACATTAATCACAGCTACCAGAGAAGGTTACTGAGTGTGAGAGTCCTGTGAGGCTTTTCTGTTACTATTGAGCGTATAATTCATCATACAGAACAGTAGTGTTTTAAAGGTTGAAGAAGCAGCCTCCTTACTAGACTGTATGAAGTGAGAAAAGCAAACTAAACAGGTGATACTGTCTCCTCCCCCTTAACTGTCAAAAAGTGCCCTTGAATAAAACACTCAAGCCTCATTACCCAAGTGCTTAATGCCCAACTGTCTGAAGTTATACTTAGCATGCCCAGGTGGAAGAGCGTCTCAATGCAAAGATTGCTATAAAACAGCATCTGTGCTCATCAAGCTTTCCTTGAATGAGTAAAAGTTAAGAACTAACCCATAATGCAATATAGTAAACTGCTTTAGGAGACAGACAGAAGTGAGGTAGAAAAGTAAGCTGAAAATGAAGGAAATGTTAGGAGTTAATGATAATGTTCTTTATTTACTTTTTCTTCCACTTTGCCATATATTCTGTTTTCCACACAAAATCACAAAATTAGAAACTTTTTTGCATGTATGTTGAACAAATTATGATCTATACGTTGACACAACTCAACTCCTCCGAGTGTTCTTTCACTCAGAATGTCCCTCAGACTTTCTGTCTGTCTCTGTCTATCTCTGTCCATGCATTATGATAATATAAAGTAGTAGTAAAATAAAGTTGGGATACATACTTTGGTACTCACCAACATAGCGAATTTTGAAGCCTTTCTTGTTTGTGCCGTGGTCAGAAGACCAGCGGACCAGGAACTGGTGACCAGAGGTTGTGAGGTTAAAGGGTGTTGGCAGGTCGCCGCTCAGCGTTGTCAGAGTGGGACTGTTGGCTGTTGGACCTGAGACAGATCAAGACAAACAGAATGAACGGCATACTTTTGTATAAAGATGTTAACGAATGGCACTACTTAGCTGAATTCTTACTATACTGAATGTCAGTGTTGTGCTTAAGTGTTTTTTTTTTTACCATCAAAAATCTCCAACACGTCAAACTCTCTCTCAGTGTGGAAACTTTCAAAGGTAATGGTGACGTTGTATCCTTTCTCTACTGTAACGCTCCATGAACACATTTGAAGGTTCGGGTAGCTTTCTGGCCAACCGGGACTCAGGATGACACCTGACGAGTCATATCGCACATCGTGTGCAGGGCATTGGACTATGTACAGAAAAAGAAGGGAGGGAAATGTTAAATTACTACACACTATTGGAAATATCCATTAACAACACTTAAATTGCTATTCCAGTGACATTAACACACCTTGGCAGGTTGGAGGTGGTGAATCCATCTGTAGTCTTTCTCCAAGGCGACATGTTAAAATCTCACTGCCAACCAATGAGAATCCAGGATGGCATCTGTACCTGATGATGTCACCTGGATGGGCAAAAGCAGTATGTAAAATGAAAGCGGTTAGAAGGCGAAGTCAAGGCAGCGAGGAAACAATATAGTTGATTTCTTCTGTAGAGTATAGTCAGTGGTGTAATAAAGCTACATACATTTACTCATGTTCTCTTTTTAAGCACATACTTGCACTTCTATTTGCGACTCTTTATACTTCCACTTTACTATATTTCAGAGAGAAATATTGATCTTTTTACTCCACTGCATTGATTTCAAAGGTATTCCATCTACTTCACAAATCAAGATTTTAAACATATGATCATCTTATAAAGATGACGCATTGTTATATATTAATCTAATAATACATAATCATGTGCCACTCAAAGTAACCATTTTTCTGCTTATATAGTTGATAATAATTCATTACGTCTATATTCACTGTGTACATTAAATTAATATCAGATAATTAAAAGTATAGAGTAGAGTAGATTATATTTGTTCTCATATTAGAGCTGGAAAGTCTCAAGTTTGCTTCCTCCATCAAACTAACATGTCTAGAGGCACTGCAGGCAGACAGACAACTCACCTATCTCCAACTCGCCGTCCTCCATCAGCATGACAGCATTGGGCACTTCTGGAGGAGGCTGGCAAACCCTTAATTGGTAGGCTAGAAGAACAGACACAGCAGAGGAGAGGAGAGAGGACAAAGAGAGGGACATTATATAAGAATGTCAGAGAGGAAATGTTGCCAGTAAACCTAACCTAGACAGGAAAAAATCTGTGAATGCTTCAAATGTAACTCGCTGGTCTATCTGCAAAAATGTGTAAGCGCCCAGTTGTCTGTGCCTGTAACAACTGCAGTGAGAATTCCTAGTGACACAAACAGTTTATGGTCTGTTTTATTTCATCTTGGTTGTTTCAGTTTAACTTCACTTTTCTAAGTTCAGGTGGTCAGGTCAACAAAGCATGGAATCAAAAACAGGCCAGCTACACAGATACAGCACTGCCTTGAATCATAAAAAGCAACTGACTTCACAGCTACTGAGCTGAAGGCTGTAATCAATATTACTGCATGATCATAGATCACTCACTAATAGAGAGAGAGAGAGAGAGAGAGAGAATACAGACAGACAGAGAGAGGGGAGGACTAAGGGTGAGAGAGGGAGGAAGGGCTGAGAGCTATAAGTCAGGATGAAATTGACTATGAAAATGAGACCTGCCAATAGTATCTGCTGCTCTCATGCATATCAAAGCCCTGTGGTCTGCGTGTGTGTGTGTGCCAGTATGCGTGTACATGTGTATGTTTGTGTGTGTGCAGCTATGTCTGTGTTTCTGTGCGCGAGAGGAGAGGTTCACTGTGAGCTGACATTGATCTCTTTAAGCTCCAAGACCGTTTTTTTATAGCTACTTTCACATTCATGTCACATCGGCTTTCTCAGTCTCACGTCCATGACAACATTATCCACCACTGTATGGGCCTCGTCCCTGTATGGAAACACTGGCATTCAAAACCTTGACCCAGAGATAAACAAATAGAAGGACAATGACATAGATAAACATCCCCAAACAGTGGATTGATGGTTCCTTTGGGGTTTATGTGGCATTTCAAACTAAAACTGCACTTTAGAAGCTGTTTCCGATGCAAACTGTGACATTCTGAATTTTAGTTGCGTCACTACAGGACACTGAAGAAGAAATGTAGAAACTTATTTTGACAAGTACCTGCTGAAGGAATGGTGCCTTTTCTCCCCGCGCTTAACTAAGAATATAAGTAATCTTCACACTATCAAATAGGGTGTCCTACTCGCGCTCATGCCTGTCTCTCCTGTTTTCGTGTTATATTGTCTAATAGAAGTGACAAAGTAATGCTAACCACCACTGCCATACGTGTCATCCCTTCTCCCTCTTATCCATCTCCCCTTGTCACTCTCCACTGTACATCTTCCAATAAAGCAGAAATTGAAAATAAAAACTCGAATCCATCAGATGTTACTGTTTCTGTGTACGTGTGACAGCTGACAGTTAAAACCTGCCAACAGAAATTCATTAACAATGTGACACATGTCTAAAAAAGGGAAAGCCTGCAGATAACTTGACATTTTTTTATTAAAGAGTGCAGAACAGAAACTTTAGAGAAGAAGCAAATATAAGCTTCATGAGGGAGAGGGCGGAAGATATATGTATGTATGTACTTGTGTGTTTGTGTGTGTGTGTGAGAGAGAGGAGGGGAATTAGACAAGAAATGACAAACTGTGTTGTGAAGGGTAAAGAAAGTACATACTGTAAAGTTAGACTCATTAGAAACCATTCTGTCAAATAATAACTTTATCCAAAAAAAGGCAACTTTTCACTGACTTAATGATTCTGATGAGGATGAGGAATATAAGCAGCATTTCTTAACTGCCTGGTGAAACCCTTGCATTGCCAGAATAGGATTTTTTGAAAAATTTTATGACAATGTATTATGATGGCTGTCAAAAGCACAAGACTCATCTAAACTATTTTCTCAAACTGTGAAAAGGTTGTTATGTTTTAGTTAAACTTACTACAAGGAGTTTTTAAATGGTTATGAAACGGTCTCAATTGAGGCCTGTATATGACCTACATAAATAAACAAGACCAACAGGGAGAATACTGGCTATAGTTATTCCTAATGTCACCACCACCTGCCACCAGGTCGGATTGGGTCGGATTCACATCAAAGTCAGACAAAACCACAGGGGCCACCAGAATCAACACAAAAGAAAAGTTTCTTGTAGCTGCTTTAAAGTGACTTTAAAGTAAATTTCCACATGACAATAGTATGCTATTATATTTTATTATACAAAAAGTCTGGCTATGTTGATGTAATAATAATAATTGAATGATAATGTGAGGTTTACCTACAATAAACACCAGACTGTACACGTACTATTGAAAATTCTGCAGTATATCTAAATGTAAGACAAACTCATAATTATAGACAGTAGAGATTGCATACTACCCTAACATTATGAGTGTTATATATAGTCCCTATATGCTTTTTCTTTTCCAAAAACATTAAAAGTAATGGAATACTGTTTCAAACTTTTTTCAACGACAGATAACACATCGTCCCTTGGACAGTATGCACCATTTAGCCATTTTATTTGAACTGCGTTTATGTGGTCAACACATGAAGAATCGTGTAATTGAAGCCAAGGAAAGGACGGAAAAACATGATAATTGGCGTTAAATGTTTTCTCATGACAGTAAATGGATACATAAAAAAAGACCAAAGTGTCAGTAGATTGATGTTTTGCAGGCAGACAGGCAAAACGAGAAAAAAGACGACTCGGGAGGTTTTCATCCTAAACGCCAGTTGAAAACAAAGGGAAATCTAAGTGCACTGAAGGACCACAGCAAAGAGATTAAAATGAAATGAAAAACTGAAAGGCATAGACAGTTTTGACATGGAGAAAGAGCAGCCCAGGACGAGCAAAAATACAATCTCCACAACTCTGTAGAGGGAAGGTTACTGTTTGTGTGTATGTGTGTAGGATGGCAACATAAAAAACATTTTTATGTTAGGCTATTGAGCAAAAAAAGAAACTTAGAAATACACAAACATGCACGAGGGTCTTTTTTCATGAAAATCTCCTAATTTTTAAGTCTAATTATTTTGTTGTGCAAACTACAGGTTTACTTTTCTTTTAAATGATGAATAAGTTGCATAACTGTGGTACCAATTAAAACAAAATGATTTGAAAAGAATCTAGGGGGATCTATTGGCAGAAATTGAATATAATATTCATAATTATGTTTTTTGTAACCTAACAGCTAGATGGCACTAAATCCTTCATATTGGGCCTTTAAAGGCAATTACAATCAATACATTTTTATTATTTTTTCAATTTATTAAACAAACCATCCTTGTGTAGTGCTACTTTCCTTTCAACAATGGCAATGCTACTCAGTACTCGTCTAAGGTATTAGTCACTCAGATCTTCAACAGAACAACTGTTGTTTTCTTTTTTAACAACTTTGTGCAAAGCTAATTGTCCCTTTAACAATAGCTACCAGTTTAGCTCACACTGATCTGAAGGGTTACTGCAGTATTTTATTATCATGTTTGGACAAGAAACTGACTACTATTTCTATATTATAGAATATATATATATGTACATATTCAAGTGAGACCAGAAAAAAAGTCTTTAACCCAAAAGTGAATAAAACATCACATAATTTGCTCAAGTATTTTAAACTACGATTCATTTGTAATCCCAACTGCTATTTGTGACACTTGAAGTAAGCAGATATACACAGCAGTAGTAATGACATTCGAAAAGGCCTCAGCACGATGAAATCAGATTGATAAAAGCTATGAAATGTTGACCAAACCTTAAAGTGGTCAATAATTCTAAAGAGCACCTTCCTGCAGACAATACCAACTCAATTTATAATATGAAAACTATCAATAGCACTGTGACTAATACATCATTACTATGGTAGGCTGTGACAAAGACGCCGGCTTCAGTCAGAGAGTAAAACGTTCTGGTCGAAGACTGAACTTCATGAGCCCGAATGAGTCAAAGGAAACAGGTCTGAGTGGAAAGTAATGAGGATGAAGTTGAAGAGAGTCTAACACAACAAACAGATCGATGCCATCACTGCAGCTACAACTAATGGTTGCATTATAGTTTTACCACTATACCTCAGGACAACAAAGCCCAATGTAGAGACAAACACAATCAAATGATGTTTCCAGTTACTGTATACAGTACCTTTATGCGATCACTAGCTCTGTGACAAAATTTGATAATGTCCTTACTGTCTTACCATGGTAGCTTAAGACAAAGAAGCCGGCTCCAGAGAAGTCAGAGTGGAATTTTATGAGGATGATGTTGGAGGTCGAGTAGACAGACTCCAAAGCAGTGTTCCCACTAAACTGGCCGATCTGAGGAGATGATTGGTCTGGACCGTCCCTACAGAGAAACAAAGACAAACACACACAAACACACACACATACATGCATACAGAAAGCTTGTGTTACAAAGAGGGTACTTAGTGACTAAAGACCCATAAACGAATGGACTTTCTTTATAGAACAATGAGGGAAAAAGTTGACCTAAAACATAATTTGAATAAGTTATTGCAGCACTCTCTGACAGTTAAATGGCTATTTGTGGCCAGGAAATGGTTTCTCCGAGGCTAGAAACAAAGATAGAAGAGACATGACGATATTTATGAGACAAAACGTGGAGCTGCTCCATTGCCTGCGAATGGAGTCGGACATTGTGTGACAAAGCGTCTGCGCCCAGAGTGATTGTGCATGGCTATGGGCTCATCTTCCTTGTCAAAACAATTCAAACTACAATGTCACAAAGCTCATTTTGATATAAAACCTTCACAAACTCAGATTCCAATTCACTTATAAAAGACCAGCTCCTTTTTGTCTCTTGATAACAACACAGTTTAAAGCCCTGGCTCTCTTATTCTTGCTTTGGGATGCACAAGATCATGAATATTGATCAAACTGTCGTCAGATCATAAGAATAACAAATGTGAATCCTGTTGTGGCTTTATTTATAACTTGGCTTTATTTTGCCACTAATACCAGGCTGGCATTCATGAAAAGTTACACAATTACCATACAGGGCAGACAGGAAGTTATCTGTCAACTGGCGGGTCAGGCTCTCTGTGTAATGTCGTGAGAATATTTCATCTTTACTGCCAGAGCCACCAGCTGTCAAACTGGAACTAACCAATAGCGGCGTCATTATCAGTGATCAAGAAATATCATCATGAAGTTAAATGAAATGATTATTTCCTGCTGTTAAGTGTTTTTGGATGAGGCCAATTATACCTGTCAGGTTATGTAAGGAATCATATTCTTCTCTGATTCACACTGAGTTTCATTCATTGCTTTCCACTGCAGATTATAATATGGCGACATATACAGTACAGAGAAGGCTTGAGTGTATGAGGTAGCACAACAGGTAACATCTGTGACATATATGATAATTCTCAGGGTGAAATCATGTAGTAAGCCTCCCAGTATGAGACCAATTAGCAGACTAACTGACTGTCAGGTTGGCTGGCTCTGGACTGTGGAGACCGCTGTGAAAATCACACCTTTGCCACTGACACGGTGCTCTCTACAGGAAACCAACTTTGTGGCTGTGTGGCTGGGATTGTGATTTTTTTTGTGTGTGTTTGTGTGTGGTTGCTGTCTTTGCTTTGTGTGAGTTCAGCAGTTTGTTCACTTTTCCATCTGACAGCAGGGTCAGGAACATGCCGTGCGACCAATTCATGGAATTCACAGAATCGGCTGTGGGTGGACGGCACATGGCTCAACAGTGTTGTGGTGTTTGCAGTGGGAAAAAGCAGGCTGCATATTTCAGTTATGAGCTACATCTACACACTTAAGATATATATACACTTAACAAGCAACACTGTAATGGATTAAAATAACAAGTTGTTACCCTTGATAGTATTTGCGGCGACTTAAAAGCTGTTATGTGGAGATAAACAGAGCCAGTTCTCCAGTGTCAAGTGTGTGTAGATATCCGACGAGCTTTCACATTTGTATGATTGTGTTATGCACTATCTGGCTGCATTTTGATCATGGAAACAATTTATTGATTGGCAGAATGTTAATCTGCAACAGTGTTGATAACTGATTAATTATTTAAGTCACTGATCGAGCAAAAATGACAAACATTCTCTGGTTGTAGCTTCTTAAATTGCGGATTTGCTTCTTTTTTCTTTCTTACTGTTGAGTATTAGTATTCTTTGATACATCATCATCTCTCGCTCTTGTGTTGTGTTTTACTATTCTTTAGACAATAAACAATGACATATTTGATGCTGAAGGCTTATTCATGACCTAGTAAAGAAAGATAACTAGCAGTTTTGAATGAGTAGAGAGATATTTTTTAATTGAAAAAATAAAATAATAAATGATAAGAGTAATAGATTAGATCAAATCTGCTGTCCACTAAATAACTGTGAGATTGTTTCACCTTAAATATGAAAAAGTGGCATCACAATGTTTCCACAGCATGTAGTTTACCTGACAGAGGTTGTAGCCAGACAGTCATACCTAAACATTCAGACTGCTGTTGGCTGGTTTTTATCTTCATCTAAATTAGAACCTCCTAAAATGAAGTTTTCCCAAAGGTAAGCTTGACTTAACTGGAGACTCAGTCATTGAAACTGGCCTCTAGGTCACGTAATGGGATCATTCAGTCTAGTTGAGAATAAAGGCACACAAAAAAGTTCAGTTTCTTGGTGTACCTGTCTTTCTCTGGAAGAAGGAGACTATCAAAGTGATTCTTCCATATAGTTGGTGTTGGACACGGGAAAAGGAACACTGTGTTGCCAGACTTTATCAATAGATAATATGGTTTTTAGTTATAATGATTTTCCTGAGGGCTGTAGGAACAGCCAAACATGGAAATCTGGAAGGTTGACAGTGTCTATATCATGACAGGCAAACAAAAGTACAAGACAGACATTTGGTCCTTCTGTGTTGGTCTAAAAATACCTAATTTGTATCAGCAGCCCACCATGTCTTACCCTGCTGTTGTTGTATTTTCCTTTCTAGCCCTGCCTCTCCATGTCTGTATGCCAGGTGACGTTTCTAAACTGTTGATGCTGCACCCTGCTGTCTATTTATAGGAAACAGGCTCTAGCTATAGAGAAAAGGCAGCAACATGGCAACCATAGAAAAAGATTGTACAGTCTATTTATGGTTCTGCTGCCATCTTGTACCTGCAGAAAACTATATAACATGGCATCTAAGCATCATTTAAACACCTGCAATGACAAAACGTCTGCTGTTCCCAATGACTGTCCTCGCCAAAAAGGAAACTGAAGAGAGAAGTCATAGCTGGGGCAGGTGGGGACGGAAAGATGGATAGTACATGACAAATAAGACCAACTGAGACTTGGAGATAGTAAGTGGAACAAAAGCAGGGAGAGACGGGTAAAACATGACAAGAAGGAAATTATGTCAGAGTAACTTTATATTCAAGGAGAGATGTCTGTAGCCATAGTAACCCTTGCAGGAATTTAGCCAATTAGTGGCCAGCTCTGAAAAGATGCTAAGGAGCATGACATCCTGTGTGAGAGTGACATGATGTTTATGTGTGTGTGTAGCAGAGTTCTCAGAATATGTGGTACAAATTAAATGGCTATTCAGTCAAATAAAAAAAGAACACTCCTTCATAAAATAAAACTTGATGAAGCCAAAAAAGATTGTTAAGAAGCAGTACATAACAAGGATCAACAGTGTAAGTTAGAAGATGTGGAAAAACAAGAAAATAAAATAATTTTAATAAATAAATAACACCTACCAGACAGTAATGTAGTCATATATGGGCTCAGTGCTCAGCACAGTAAAATTGATGTATATCCCATGTCCAGGAGGAACTCTAACACTCCACACACAGTCCTGGAAGTTGGGATATTCCTCGGGGTGACCAGGAGAGTAAATGGTTCCATTTAACGATGTGATGTTGCCACCACAGAGAGCTGTGAGATAGAATATTCACAGTATTACCCTTAATAAATGACGAGCCAATTAGTATTACCATTGTTAAGCTTTAGTAATTGTCTGGATGACTGAGGAAGGACACGTCTCTATCAGTCGTGTAATGACCACTGGATAACACCTTAATTCCTTTAATGAATTGTCATTACAGTTTTATTTCAGTTCTGCAGCACAGGTATTCCTCTGAGTGTCAGTGTTATGTTACTGTCACTGAAAGCTATAGGACTGAATATTTACAGTTTTATAAATTAAGGGTCCTTGAATGAATGTTAATGCTCTAAAATCTAGGCTTAAAATGAAAAAAAGAATAATAATTGGATTACTGTGCAGCTGCTTGTCACAAAGTTAGAATAATATAATTTAATAATATATTTTTCACTGCTGAAGGAATTATAACAATATGCCTGACACCTCTTCTTATTTCCCTTATTTTTTTCCACTTTGCTCTTGGTGCAACATTTGATATCAGCTGGTTACACTATAGTAGAAATATCAAGGAAAACATTGCGCTTACATTTAGAAAGCAGTCTTGGCAGGTATGAATAAAAAATAATGTATGCATTAAATAGTTACAGCTTGGAGTAAGATAACTCTGTTTAATAATGGAAAAATACTTCCACAAAGTTGGGAAGGGAACAATATGAAACACCATAACTAATAGTCACAAAACAGTGATCGATATCAGTGTTGAAATGTTATTAAAAAGCATTCACAAGTGTGGATAGCTAGGTGGGTACGTGATCTTTAAAAACCTCTGCTTTGGGATTGAAAGAATAGTTTACCAGTATACATGTGCATACAATCTGGGAGCTTGATGTTACAAGACCCATAAAAAACATAAATTATGTTTGCCTGAGAAAGTGAGATATTTCATATAACAGTAGTGTAATAACTTCTCAGACCAAAGATACTATAAACACAAGAAATACTATACATTCAAACAGACACAGATAGTAATAGATACAGGGATGACCTTCTGTATTACCTTCACATCGTGGTAGAGGGTGATTCCAGTTCCTGCTGATTCCATGTAAACATGTGAGGGAAGCTTCCCCGATCAGAGAATATCCAGGCAGACATTCAAAAGACACTGTCATCCCAACGCTGAAATCTGTGCCAATCACGATGCCATTTCGAAAGGGCCGAGGGTCTGGGCAACTCTGGAGCTGGTAGGCTAGAGAGACAATAACCCAGATCAGTCAAGGAAGATAGAAACAATACAGGACTAGTTTATAAATGGCCAAGAGCAGCAGTACGATATGTGCTTTTATTGTTCGCTCGATTATGTTACTCTTATTCACTCTCAGCAGGATTCTTCTTTACTGGCCAATGCTACAAAATAAATTTAAGGTTGGACCACTAGCTGTAGCTTCTGGTCCAAGAGACAGAACCCATTTTAAACATCCTGTAAATGGACTACACTCTGCCCTAAACTACTCTGAGTATGTTAAATGATCTTTCTCCTCCTGCTTATAAGGTGTTTGTCAGAAATCATTTTCATTTCAGTTTAAAAGACTCAACTCATAATTCGTCTGGCATGTCATATTGCTAATGCAATCTGCAACCGAAGTTTCAAAACAGACTTAAAATGCTGGGGAGAAACAACTGCAGGCTTCTAGATGTAAATTAAGATTACTAAGTTTTTTACAAAGGTACCATGCACCAGTGAAGCTTTTACATGTTCTTTTGATGTTGCCAAAATACTCAAATTCAATCTGACAGTCTGCCATTTAAACGTTTTAGTCACAGCCGAAGTTACAAGAGTCAAGGTTTGCATGACTGAAGAAAGACATGTGACAGAAAGACAAACATTAGCAGCTATAATAGTCCTGTTTTAAACACTTTGGCAGTGCTCCTGTCATGAGATAAAAGGTATTATTCATCAGCCACTGTAATTTGCACATTAATGGAATTAGCTGTAACAAATTAGGCTATCTACAAGATTTGTCATAATAAATATGAGACTGCTCAAAACCTTTTTAGTGTCAGATAGAATAAATATAAAACTCATCTCATCACTGAAATGAATCTATAAATGAGGACCTGCATGTACCCTATAATCTTTTGGCAAGTGCTTAGAACTCAAGAAACATTTTTTAATCGTCGTCTGAATGTCGATAATTCTGTTATTAGATGCTCCTGAGAAATGAATGACACTTACAACAGTCAGACTGTCTATTAACCAAGTTTCCATATTGGCAACAGTTGCTGTTTTCATAAAAAGCACAGTCAGACGACTGCTCCCATTTTCTTTTCTTAGTTAAAGGTCAGTGTACACAAGATGCTGGAGAGGAACTCGTAGAAAGAAGATTTACCTTGATATGTCATGTGGAACCCTGGTTTGTTTTGTGAATAGTCACTGTGGAAGAAAAAGCTGGTCTGGTGAGTGGTGCTGAACAGAGACTTGGGGATGACTGGACCGCTGAACCGATCAATGACCGAGCCCGTCTCCAGCGTTCCACTGCGGATCTCTAAGTAATCATGGATCGCTTCAGTGGAGAAGTTCAGAAACTGGAGATGGATACCTGAGGAAAAAAATACATAGCTTATGACATTTACAGCAATCAGCGAAGCTTGACTGACAAAGAGGCCGGCAATAAAAGCATTTGCAGATGCTTCATCAGTAAAGTGGATAAAGGACACGGAGAACATAGACGAACAGTGAGAGGATCAACACACATTGTTTCAAAGTTGACAGTGTTTCTTACCAAAGCCGACAGGTAAGTTGACTGTCCATGTGCAGTCTAATCCACTTGGGTAGTTGCCGGGGTAACCAGGACTTAGAATCACTCCACTTACATCTATCATAGACCCACCACACTGGGCTGCAAGCACACGTGTCACCGAAAGAGAGAAAAATAAGGAAACAGTGGTTCAGTGTTGAAAGCAGCACATCAAAAGCAGGAAGCTGACCCCACTGAGTACAGCAGACATACAGCTCTTCTTCCTTTTTAAGACCTATGCTGCTATTGCCTAGACACTTATATCTTCACCCTGACATTTCACATCATTCTGAATCAAACATTAAAATTCAGAGTCTTTAATAAATACCCTTCTTGAATAAATTACCATTGTGCAAGCAGATTTGTGTCCAGGGCTTGTTTCCTCTAGTTTGCCTCAGTGCATGCTGATAATTTGGCACACTCTGCATGTTTATGGCAGAGTCTGACTTAGCTTTGCATCAGTTTAAAAGCTTAATCATATTCTGCACAGAATACTAAATAATCAGCTCATCACAGAACAGTAAACTGATCAAACGGCTTATTTTTCCAGAAAGTCATGGTAGGCAATGAAGACTGCTTGCATCATTTCTGCAGCAGTTTTGCACATATCTCAATACATCTAGGCTCATATAGGTGCTGTAGGAGAACACCTACCGAGACATAGTGGTACAGGGTAGTTCCATCTTCTAACAGGTCCAGGCATGCAGGTGATATGGGCATTGCCCTAGAAATGTAAAGGCAAACACAATCTATTATTAAATAACAGCTGTGAAATCACCACAAATTAGCTTTGGTTTAAAAGTTCTGCTATCTACTCAAGAATAATATTCATGCTTTGCAATAACAACTAAAGTCAAGCCCTATATTTAGCATGAGGAAGACAAACCTCCATTAGAGCAGTATACTGCACAGAAATTGGGCAGACCACACCAGAGACATACATTATTCAGGAGTTGTGCAAACCACACCAGAGTTGTATGTTTAGTAAGAGCTGGGAAAACCACCCAAGAACGGGGTTTCCTTCTGATTCAGTTTAAATAGTTCTTGGTTTGTGCAGCCAGGGGATAAAAAGAGCGAATTGCGACACATCAGAAATGCTGAGCAGTCTTTAATGATTTCACGTACATATCTGTCAGTCAGTTTGCATTAAACAACCATAATTCGTAGTGCATATATCTGTTTAGTGTATTAGAAACGACTATCCTCTAATTCCTCTCTGTTAGCATGTATCTGTGCATAAAGACAAGCAGTATATCCCCATATAGATTGCATTTTTACCTGAAGAGAGTATCCTTGTTCACATGAAAACTGCACAACGTCTCCCACCATAAACCTGTCTCCTTGTCTTATTCCATAGCTTGGAGTCTGAGGCTCTGGACATGACTCCAGACCAATAGCTGATAAGAAATATGAAATAAACTTTCAGTCATCGTATATAAAACACAAGCTGCAGATAAAGCTGTATACAAGACGAATATGTTACCTGTATATTCCAGGTGAAAACCAGCAGCTGAGACACTAATATCAGAGCTGAAGCTGAGATAGAGGTTGTTAGATGTACTATTCAGGAGAGGCGGGATGGTTGTGCCTGAAAGCAGGGAGAAAGCAACAGACCCCGATCATATTTTTTCATTTCTCAACTGAGGCTTGAAAGCAAATGATCTTAGTTATCTGACAGCAAAGGAAACAACAAAGGCCTCCCAAACCTACATTTTCATTTTTTTGTTTGTGAAGTGTTCTCAAAGGAGGGAGAGGAGAATTACTTTTATATGAGACATCTGTTTTATTTGAGACCACTTTTAAAATGTTGGCTTGACCTACTTAGCGTGGCAAGGAAAAGTACAAAGTAAAAATGATACTGAAGCAAAGCCGGCACAGTGCAACAGGGTAATTCTGTCAGGGCCCCTCACACATAATATAATTGATGATGCACTTTAAAGGCATACTATGCAGGATGTTCCTAAAAAAAACAACATATAGACACAAACAAACATAGTACCTGTAAATCGTCACTTATGACACTTGTGTGTGGCGGAGTCTGTAACTGCAGGGATACTGCCCTCTGCCTGTATTTTCTCATTTTGTTGTGTTTGGGATTTTTCTGGGCATCAAAGCTTTGGGCGGTATGCAGGGTGTGAGTTCGGTACTCGATTTAAACGCAGCAGCCGGGTTACATTGCTGTCTCCGTCTATCTCTGTCCTCGGCTCCCTGTCTGTGTCCTGGATGCATGATGAGCTGCTGTGTGTGTGTCCATATCTGTTTGACCGACAGCGGACAGGATGAAACTACGCTTCAACTGCATTCATACAAAATCCAGAAATATGGCACCTTCCTGCAGGGTTGCGCAGAGGTATGTCCGTATTTATTTGTGATTTAGAACAATCACAATATACTTCTTTTTTAATATATATATACATATGTTGCCTTTATTAAATAGGACAGCTGACGATAGACAGGAAAGGGGGTATAGAGAGAGGGAATGACACACTATAGGGCTATAGGGCACCTTGAAACAATCAACAACAAAAGTTTTATTTCTCCCATTCACTGCTTTGTTCTCGCTGACATTACTCACTCTTCTCAACTGTGCGCCATGTAGCTCGACCAAAGGTGCTCTGTCTGGCTCGCTCAAGCCGGAGAGGAGGGGCCAACTTTGAATGATACATATACAAGCGCTGATGTTGTTTTTTGTTCAGGGGTAGGTGTGTCAGCAAAACTTATCAAAGTTACAGATACATTCCCCTGAATGAGGACTCAATTAGGCCAATGGATGCTATTGGTTGCCTGTTGTGAGGGGAATTAATTATATATAATCATTTCTGAACAGTCTGCGGCCCCCCTGCTGGTTGTATTCGCGTTCCAGAGAAAATTTAATTCATTATCATAACGGAAAAAAATATAAAATGATTTTTGATTAATAATAAATGGTGATGAATAATGTATTGCATGGATTTAACCATAACAGTTGTTTGGGGATGTATGGCAGTATTAATCAAAAGTTGCAATCAACCATTTAAAAAAAGTTTTAGCGTCCTATTTATTCATTAATCACTTTTCATACGGACATATGTTCCTGTCATGGTCATTTCGTTGCCCAACATATAATCTCTTATCCAGTTTGTCGTAAAGATGTCAAGCCCTTCCATAAATCTTCAATACAAGCAGAGAATACTTTTCTTGCCCAAAAACAGTATTAGTATTCCCAGAAAATGCTGAGTCAGCCCCCTTTTTAAAATTACACAAGGCAATGAATCCAGAGGAATCCTTAAGACATGTCTTTTAGTTGAATATGAGTTGTTGGAGCACTGAAGGAGAGGCATGCAGTCAGTGCTGATATTGGAACCAACCACACTGACACTACACTAATAAACAACAGCGATTCTGTTGAGTTGACTTTTTTATAATTTTTTAACAGGAAAAGCAGAGAAGAGAAATGTAGTTAAGACTTTTTTTCTTCTGCATGTATAACTGAAATATTCAATGTTTTTGCATGAAACATAGAAAATATATTTCAGTTGTTTCAGTTTTCCGACATTATCTGGATAACAGGTGATAGGAGCTACATTGCAAAAACGGTGGGTAACATACTGGCACAGCATGTGTGCTGCTGTTGCATTTATGGATTTAAATATTTTACCTGCCACAAAAGACATAACAGTTTTTCATGCTCTTAGGCTTGATAATAGCAATAAATCAATGTAGAACTAGCAGCTAGGAGTTGGAATGAATCTGCCCACCCCATTAAAGTTAGCTCCAATGTATACTAATAATGGAGTACATTTTGGGTGCACTCAATGTGAATAATTATATTGTTTTGGATTTAATGTGTTTGACACATCTATTCCTAGTAGAGAATTAGAGTGTAAGAGGATCAATTAGCTATGCAACAAATATTTCTCATATGTCTTTCAAGTAATCACATGTGAACAAGCAGGTGTCGGGGGGGGGGTGTTCCTCGGCTCCTGCTAGGAAACTCGGAAGCAGTTTAGCTCTAACTGCACTCATAGCAGGGCGCCACATGGGCAGCATCTCTTATGCCTCAAAACATCATGACAACATGTTTTTCTAACTTAACTGCATTTAACTGTCAAGCTATATTTGCTGTAATCGGGTTACAAGACAAGAGAGTTCTTACTCTTCTTTATTTTGTTACAAGGAGTATAAATGCTTGGAAAGGGGGGCCCTGGCCTTAAGAATTTGATTTCCTTGGCTTCTTGGTTACTCAGTCTCACTACCATATTAACTACTGCTATCAAAATTGTCACAATTCAGTTGTATATAACTGTATAACTGTATAATTTACCATATTTCTAGTTCAAAATAAGTATATGCTATACTGGCTAATTTGTTGCAAATTGTCTCACACTTAATCACTGTAATTTACCAAATTGCTTTTTGGCAAGAATGACAATGATATGTGTAATACTACAAAAAAATACTGATTTTTTTTTTTACCAGAGTAGCTTCCCAGTCTTGGTGCATGATTGTCAGCACCATCGTAAAAATCCAAAGAGTCCCAGTTGTGCTCGGTGGCAAAACTCACAACTTGTATCTGGAGAGAGAGATAAAGAGGAAGAGAACAGACTTGTTAGAATTTGTTCTTGTTAGCTTTTGTTTTATTGTCTTCAATAAAAACGCCTAAACTCCCATTTGATTGCATCTGGTACAGCGGCCTATAATATTTCTCATTCTATGAACAAATTTAGAAAGAAAGTAAACACATAATGTCTGTTATTTGCTATATCCAATATAAAAAAAAAATATACAACATGAAAGGAGATGTGAGACAAGGCTGAACGAACAAGTCAAACGATACAGAACACACGTACTTGATGTGATGTACTATAAAACGGAAAGAAAAACTAAACGCAATGAGTCTTGTCTTTCTGATTTTTGCAGCAGACTCCTTTTTCTGTCAGAGGCATCTTTGCCTTTGTGTTTGTCCGTGAGAGTGGTTTAGCTTACACGCAATCAGGCATTATCTCTCACGATTAGATCCTATCTAGTTATCTCTGAATGGTCCCTCTCTCACAAACCATCCATCCATTCATCCTTCTAATAATATCTTATCTTCCTTGACATCCTGCCTGCTCAGCTTTTAAGCCAATGATACATAGGTCAGCCAGGAATCAGTGTGTGACGGGTACTACCTGTATTCCAGCCCCTTCTGGAACAGAGACCTTCCACACACAGTTCTGGTTGTTGTCGTAGGGCTCTGGATATCCGGGTGACAGGATGGTCCCACGACGAGAGGTCAACACGCCCCCACAGGGAACTGAGTGAGCGGAGAGAGGAGAGAAAAAACAGAGGTTAAAACAACGCTTTGTCTGAAAGTAACAGGAAAAGGGAGTCGCTTGGACCTTCTCTTCCCCTGCAGAGGAGGAGACCAAAGAGCCTGAGGCCTGGTTGACAGCTTGGACATAGTTAGATGTTGGGTTTTTACAACACTGAAATGCTTTTAACTGTCTGCATTTGTTTTTAATTGTTCCTCATAGTGAAGAGTCCATTGTGCGGCTGACAATGTATCTTATGATGTTACCCCATTCTCAAAAGGAAAATGTCTGTGTTCTGCTGAATTTTTGGATTCATATTTACCCATGCATGTTGGCAGGGTGTCATTCCATTGTGCCAGGTTGTCTGGTACACTCTCACACCGTATGGCAGTAGAGCCATGTAGAAGGTAACCAGGGTTGCACTCAAACTGCACCAAGGAGCCGACTGCAAAGTCATTACCGAGACGCTTCCCAAAGCGTGGCTCTGGGACCGAACTGCACTGGGTGGAGCTGGTCCTCGGTACAGCTGCAGAAATAAAGACAATATAACCATTAAAATGTTTTAATATTGATGTAAAGTTATTATTTTTTTTAAATCTCAGTAAGGCTTTTCTGGCAAAATAAAGGTTAAATAGATACAAAATTAAATAAATAAACCGTGGAATTGTACATAAAATGGCCGTTGTTTGAATGATTTTGAATAAATAAAAAATAAAAAAATAATACTGGTACTATTACTGCTACTACTAATAACAACAATAATGATAATTAAATTAATAATGTTGGCTGATTGTCATTGGCTGACCTTGGTAGACGAAGTGAAATCCCTTAGCAGTTTCTGGTCCGACTGTGGTAAACTTTATCGTAATCTGGTTCCCCGAACTCAGAGGGAGAGACTCACCTAGAGAGGGAGACAGGGTCGAAAAGATACAAGATAAGAAACAAAGACATATGGTTAGGGCTGAGGATCTGTCCACTCATCTCTCATATCAACCCAACCCCTCTATCCTTACCAGAGTGGGACCCAGAGAGAGAAGATAGTAGTGTGTTTTGCTGAGTGGGTCCGTCGTAGATTTCCACCACATCATTTAGAGATGTCTGGAACAACACAAACTGACCAAAGAGGACTGGAGAGAAAAAAGAAAAAACAGCACAACCACATTTGAATAGCAAATTATTATTCCATGCCACTGTCTGCACCTGACCTTCCAATGATAACATTAACCTGTAACACCTAATTTAAATTGTATTAAGCTGCAGTGTCAACTTCTATCTGAAGCCAACTACTGGACCAAAATTTTTATTAGGACACTAAACAGTCAAAGCATCACCTCATCTTCATCAGGCACTAGACCAACCCACATCAGCTGGGTATATCAGTTTCTGTCAGCTAGTGTGAAATGTTGGCGTTGGCAAAAACTGGCTTTTGTCAACATATGCCAGTAGGGCATGGTGTTTTTTTCAGATCAGAGCAGTATATGTATATGTAGTATATGTAGCATATGGCACAAGTGGAAACCTGACAAACCCATGTCCCAAAACCCATGTTTTACTCTGTTTCAGTATGATGGAAGGTGAAAAGCCTGCTGTAGTGACCAGGAATTAAGCCCAGGACTCCCATATAATAGCTGGAGAGTCCTCTACTAAACCAATTTTATGAATGAATTTTATGGTACAGCTGTAGTCGCAGGTAGTATTAGGAGGCGCCCTGGAGGCCTGAGGCCTTGTATTTGCTCAAACTAGTATAATTCCCTCCGTCTTGGTTGATCACTGTGTCTTTAAATCAATCATATGTCGCCTTAAGATACAAATCTGTGTTGTGTGTTGTTGTATGAATGACAATGTGTTTGTCTGCAGCACATAAAAAACATGTTCTTTAGGATAAATTAAATGTATTTCAGCCTCAATGAAGCCAGATCCCTGACTACACACAAACACACACACACACTCACACGTATCATCTCTCCATATCTCCCTCAGCCCCAAAGGCTGAGGTGTAAAGGATTAAATCTGAACATTGCCAAGGATATCCCGCTATAAGAAGGTCACTGGTCACTTTGTGCCAGGCTGTTTCTCTCTGTAGAGTTCTTTGAAAGCATGATCCGCATTTTGCTAAAACATTGCTCTGACTCACAAAAGATAGCCTCTCTGCTTTCATGTAAAACCCTTTTTCATGATAAAATAATGGCAAGCAATCAAGAACAGAAACAAAAAGGTGGATTTTGAATTGCCGTTGAATTTGAATCGGACAATAAAACAAGATCATCATGAAAGCGTTTACCTCTATTTGGCTAATGAATTTGAACCTCTTATACTTGTATTTTACAGCTATGTCATAGTCATACTATACACGAGGATGTGTATAAGAGCATGCTGTTGAGTGGTCATAAAGAATGACAAGATTCTTCCTGTCAGTAGAAATACTTAAAAGCTCCCACTGTGTATAGATTTTAAGGAAATCAGAGTGATTAAGGTTTCCATCATTCCTTGCTGTAATATCGACATACCGCATGGCAGGTGGAGGACTTCACAGCTCAAACTGTTTCAAAACAGCACAGATTTCAGAAAAGGAGAACACACATGCACCAGCATTCACACACAGATTCCTAAGCATTAACCCACACAGGGAATAGCTTTTAGAAATCACAGAGGATTTCACTCATACTGAGATGAAAAAAAACATATACAACACAGAAAGATCCACACAAACAAAGCCACACACAGAGATAACAGCAGTGTTGTCCCACACTGTGTTAACCACATGGCTCGTCGGTAATGAAAACCGTCTGCACTGCAGTCACATACACCCAGCAGATCTGTTCAGTTGTCCAGGTTGTAACATGCCCAGCAAAGTTTAAATCAATCTGTTGGACTTGTTATCAAATGATTGAGATGTTTGACTCTGCATTTGAATTGGTTCTTCAGCTCTTGACATCAAATGGAGAAAACCTGGGCATCGATCCCTGTGGAGCTGCCATGCTTCCCAATGAGCTGCCTGAGTGGGTGTCCTCAGCCATATCCTCATTCAACAGGAGGTATGGCAACTCCACAGGGATGAATGCCAAGGGTTTTCCCCACCTGGTGTTAAAACTGAAGGAGCCATTTGTATGAATGGTGAAATCACCATTAACCATTTAATAACAAAAGTTTTAAAACTGCAACCATGAGCCAGTTGCTGCAAAATATTTGCATTTTTTGTTCTTTTTTTTGGGGGAGAATGACAGCTGCTTAACAAATCTGGGCATGGCATAAAGCTCTAGCACTGCAGCTTAACAAAACAATCTCTGTCTGTTGCTCAGTGAGGGAGGTTCAGGGAGGGTGTCTGTGTGTCTTATACAATATGTAGGCCAACCAAATGTTAGCTCCTCTCAGTCAAAATGTCTACATGGAGCTGACACTCCAAAGGCTGCTAAGCAGATATAATGTGACAGCAACCATCAATAGCCTCAGGGAAAGCTGCTATTTATTCATAATACCACAGGGCATAATTGGACATCATATCCACCAATTACTGATTGTTTGTAAAAGCTCAAGTCAGACAAAATTAGTCAGTCGTTCTAATAATAGGCCACCCAGTTTAGATGCCAATGTGTGATGTAGTATTAGAGACACAAATACATATAAACTTTTCAATTAATTGAAAATTAAATTATATTGATACCTTGACTTAATGTCTACTTACTAGCTTTTCTGGATCTTTCAACAGTATCTGCTTATGAAGACAATGCCAAAATATTTCCAAGCTCAAAAATAAACATTTGTACTTTTTGGCCAACATAAAATCCTAAAAGCACTATAAAAACATAACTGCTACTGTGCTTGCATGTCAACCAATTCATCTCCATGAGAGCAAAAGAAGCAAGAAAGTGGACCTTGAGTTGGGTTTGTTTTGTCAAACTACTATTTCCAAGGTCAAGAATCAACTTTAATGCTTAAAATAATACCTGGCCTGTACTACCATTAATGCACAATGACAATGTTACTGACTATAATCAGTGATTTTTGACACATCATTTCTTGACTGCAGTGCACCCCTTTCCAGTCAGAGAGAGGGGAAGTAAATCAGTGTGAAAAAATGTGAGAGGAGACTCTAATGTCCCCACATTCCCAGCACAGCCTCATTTAATGTGAAGAATCTTCTACAATAATCCTATCTATGTGATGTGTCATTTATGTCTGACTTAAGGACCACTGATCAAATGTGGCAAGATAAAAACAACCTCATCGTTAAATGTCACTTCAATAATGAAACCCAGATGTGGAATCAAGTAAATGGCCAGCGAGCATCTTTTGATCATGTGTAATATCTCTCTTAGATTTTAGTGGTTAAAATTCCCAAAGGGCTCCTTCAAGGGGCTTCCCCATAACAAATACTGTTTTAATGTCACTTTGTTTCACTGAATCAAAGAATATATGTCAAAGGAAATTGTGATCACAGGCTTTATTCTCAACTGTTGTGTCTTTACCTACGCTTCAGAGCACTATACACTTGCATTTGAAATTATTTTTAAAAATAAAGAATGAATTCCTTTAACACTGACTACTTTTGTATTGCAGTTTTCACTCTAGCACAGCCAATAGATTCATTCAGGTACTGTAAGTAATTCTGTGAAATATTCTCGGAATGATGGTATTCAGTGCAGTGGCATGTGTGCACTATACTGTATGTGTGAGTGGATAAACTTACCGAACTCCCGAGGTACAGATATAGAGTAGACACAGGTCTGTCCAGAGGTATAGTTTCTTGGGAAATTTGGAGATAGAACAGTCCCTTCTGATCCTGTAGAACGACTTCCGCAGGGAGCTGGGAACAGAACACACATGTGTGCACACACACACACACACAGACAGGAAAAGATAATCCAACACATACATACATACAGAAAATAACACAATGTTGAACTTTAAATTGTGTGTTGCTTTATTCTGGTCTGCGTTTTAGGGTGTGTTACCTTGACAACTAGGCAATGCCCTGTTCCACCCAGGTCTGCCATCATCTCCCATACTGCAGGTTAGGGTAGAATAGCCCTAATGACAAAAACATTTTACTGTAAGAAAAACAACCCACCAATCAACCAACCAATCAACTAACCAACCAACCAACCAACCACCCATATAACCAATCAACAAACTATCCACTCATCCCACCAAACAACCACCAACCTATTCAACTATTGGACTGACCAGCCACCCAACCAAGCAATCATCCACTCATCCACAAACCAATAAACTTACAAACCAACCAACCACCAACCCCTCTGTCCAATCTACGAACCAAACAACCAGCCAGGCAGCCAATTGACCATCCATCCACTCATATAACCAAACAACAACCACCAATCTGATCAACCAAGCAATCATACATCCATCTACGAATAAAATATAGTTAACCACCCATCTGACCAATCAATCAACCAACCAACCAAACAAACATCCACCCATCATCCACCCATCCATCCTTTTTTCGTACCTGCAAAACGTATCCGGCCTCACAATAGAAGGTGACAGTAGATCCAAGCTTATAATCAGATCCCAGCCTGGTCCCATTCAGAACCACACCTGGGTCGAAACATGATTCCCTCAGTTTGGCTGGACAGAGAGAAAGAGAACAATTGAGTTAGTGAAACAGAGGGTGAGGCAAAGAAAAAGCGACAGGCACACATATATATATACATATAATAAGTTAAATTAATAACAACTAAGTCCCTAGCCATAATCAAGTGAGGCAGGCATTTTGTTGGCCTTTTTAACAGTCTGTTTGACTTAGCTGCCTTTGCCAAAGACGGAGCAAGAACCATAACTTTATCTCCCAGCTTTGAATGCTACATGAAGCTTGTAAATTATGACTCTGGCCCCCCTCCTAAAAGATTAGCGGACACCTTGCATTAACTTAAGAATTAATTCCTGAGTCCACAGGAAGCCAATGTTGATTCTTTTGTGCAAGTGAATCAAACTCACACCTCTGACAGACACTAACAGACACCACAGTTCCTAACAGGGACTTTATGGGGAGAGCAATCATTCTTTTTCATCTTAAAATCAGCATGATGCACACAGTGGGGGCTTCCATGGTGGCACCTCCCCCTGTAATCTGATTGGCCACCCCGTGTGTCCCCCCCAATGGTCATTGACTCGGGGTAATGTCAATCATTGCGCTAAAGCCGCTTACCGACGCTGCATGTTAAAAACGAAGCAGAGCCGAAACCTTGGTGTGACTAGAACTGTGGATAGAGAACTCCATGAAGGCCTTTTGATATTTGGAAAAAAAGACAAAGGAGAAAGTGGCTCCCCGCGGCTGCGCTAAAATGTAACTTCATGTAACTTCACCAGGTTCAGGAGCTGTTTTTGCAAACGTGATGCTCCTTAGGTGGGCACGCGAGTTAAGGTAAAGAAAGTAAGGGGTTTGTAACGATTCATCCTACTAAAGCCAGCGATGTATGCGATTATATTCCCATATGATTCCAATTAACATCGATGCTGTGCTCGGGCAAGTTGGCCTTCCCGGGACAACACCATATATCGATCATAACATCGATTTTAAAAGGGTAAATCGATCGAGTTGTATGGATACTAGAAAAATAAATGCATTGGAATAAGCCCAGCGGGCGTCAAGACTTTTAATATAATACACTAATTTGGTCTTCCTTTTGAAGAAAATAAACAAAAAGGTCCGCCTTTTTGAACACCCATATATAATTATTGTCCAAAAAAGCTGTGTCCAAATATAAAGTAATTCATTTGGTTTAGCATTTTCCGTGTCATGACCGATCCAACACATGTTGCCAATGGTGTTGATTCGCCACAAACGGCGGCTCAGGCTGTCACATCAAACTCTCAGCGAACCAGAGAACGTAAGTTTAAGACTAACGTCCAGTTGTTGGACTGAAATTCTGAAACATGCTCATACTCCATATAGTAAAGGCAAAGCCTAAACATCTGAAAACAGAAGGTGGCCTGGCTAGTATTTTTTTATCCCCCTTTACTAATCAGATAAAAACATTAAGAACAGTTTTTCTAGTATGATGTTTATTAGACCTATGTAATCTGTAGTTGGAAGGGGCAAGCTTGTCAATAGACTGTATCTTGTAATATTTATTAATTAGCCTATGATGGTATGTGTATGCCACCTTTATGTAATCTGGTGGAAAAACATAATTCAAGAGTTTAAAAACTGAGTCATACGCCAAACCAAATATCTGCTTGCCGTGGTCCCTGTGTATGCAAAGTGTCCTCCTTTTTGATGTGAAGGAAAATGGCCACCCTATTGATACGCCGAATCCCGTTACAAGAAACAACCAGGAATCGGGAAACCTTCACGCTGCACTGTCCCAAGTACACAGGGTATTTATTATCAGTCCACACGTGGTTTGAAATTTTGGCTAAAAAGTTACTGAATCGATTTGCCAAGTCACTGAATCGGTTTCGGCATTGTATCGTTCTAAGAAGAACGCAATATCGTCCTTGAATCGTATTGGCCAACCACAAATCGCCAATTAGCATCCGTTGTATCCTTTCCCGCATTTTGTGACATGAGATTAACAAGTCAACACAACAAGTGTATCATATCATTGTTGCCACAACGTGATTTTGGTACAGTACAAATAACATTGAATTAAATTGTTGTTACCTCCTGTGCCCCCCCAACCCCACGAAAAAAATTCCTGGACCCCGCCCCTGGAATGAGCAGCACTGTCAGAAGTGGGGATACTTAAATTGCCAAATAGTATTGTATTGATGCATCTTAGGGGTATTTGCAGTAGTCTTCACTTGTTAAAGTAATAAATTGTAAGATATTTTAAAGCACATTCCTGGAGACATCCTGTCATCACGGGGGAGAGCCATCTGAAACATGGATGTCCCCGTGAGTGTGAATACTTAGTAGTATAGTGTTTTCCCAAAGTTAACCCCCTTGACTTAGAAAAAACCAGATAAGACAAGAAACAGCCCCCTAGGCAATTACAGTCAAGCAGAAGTATATTAAAATAAATTTTTCCAACAATTGACTGTACAAGGTGGCTGTATAACACCAAACCAGAATGGAATGTGTCTTTACCGGTTTTAATCCTATTTTCGAGAGAAAGACGTACAGTGTGTGGAAGCTACCTTCCAGGTGCTTCCTGGTTTAGATATAACAACCTATTACATAACAGAATGCAGAATACATTATGCTGCTTTTGCTTAGGTAATCATGATTGATATGTATGATGTGTTTAGTTAATCAATACAGAAGTGGAAAATGTTTCTGTGCTGTTAAGAGATCACCACTGCTGTAGATAAATATTTTCATACAAAACTTAAATCTCCCCTGAGAATGAAAAATCTGTCGGGTTTGTGTTGTTTGCCCATGTCATTTAGAAGACTATTCCCAGAACAGTAAACGAATACAAGCTGTACATAAAGGATGGATGGTAACTGTTAGGCAAGAAAAATTTTACCTTTGTATTCGCAAGTGAAAGCCAGTGTAAGAAACAGACCCGAACCACTGCGAATGCTAAATGCATGGTATTTCGAACATGCTCTCGTATCCGCTCTGGGGAAGTTTGCCTGTCTGGAAGCCTACGCAATCAGGAGGACTGTTGCTATCCGGACCTCATAGACATAGAAAAAGTCGTAGTTTGGCTCAATATTGAAACTAGAGCATAGATAAAGAAAAAAAAACACAGTTAGGACAAGCAATAGAGGGCAACAAAGGATGGCACAAGAAAAAGTCAAGACACGCCCGGAACATTTTTAGATGAGTTTCTAGGCCAGGTTATTTTACAGTTGCTTATTGTTTATTTAATACTAAAAAAACATTCAAAAAAATCATTTTTAGAACACTGAATGGTAAAAGTTCAAATTTCCACATTCAGAAAAACAAATGCTTTTACAATAGAAAAACAGGCTGATATTGACAATTTTTGATCAAAGCATACTGTATGTTGCAAAATAAAAAAGAAGCCTAGCAGTTATAAACTCTTTATCATCTGATATTGAATGTTTCTACCAGGCTTTAGTGTCTAAAACATTCATTGATGCCAGAAGACAAATCCTAATGATTTTGGTGATCTTTTCATTTGTTTTATAGCACCAAAAGGGCCTTAAATATTCAGTGCAACTGTCTTGTGAATACTGTCTTGTATACATGTTTGACTGTAAAAAAAAAAAGTCAGTGGACTTTTTGGAGATTTAGCAACATAGGAGGTTACCTGATGAAGGCCAGTGACAGGACGTAGTCAGAGTTTACAGCAATGAGCCAATCACAGTCCTTGGAGTGAGGGTAGGGATGTGGGTAGTTAGGAGACAGTATAAATCCATTGGAGCCAGTTAGGTTTCCTCCACAAGGAGCTATGATGAGAACAAAAGCAACATTTTAATTTCATCAAAAGCAGCAGTATGGAGAGAGGTGGGTAATGAAATACTGTATGTATTAAAGGTCTAGTGTGTAACGTTTAGAAGAATCTATTAGCAGAAGTGGAATATAATATTCATAGGTATGTTTTCATTTGTGTATAACCACCTGAATATAGGAAACGTTGCATTTTTGTCACCTTTGAGCTGTTTTTATCAACAGCTCGCCTTCCACTGAGTTTGCCATGTTTCTACAGTAGCCCAGAATGGAAAAAAACAAACACTGGCTGCAGATAGGGCCTACACACTCAGTCCTACAAGTCACTCACAGATGTGTCCTTGAGCAAGATACTGAGCCCTAAACAACTATAGTTGTGTTTGCGGTGCATCTGTTGTATGTCCCTCTTAATATATGGAAGCTGGACTTCTCACCTATGCAGACAGGCGGGCTGGGCTGCCAGTAGTATCGGTTATCCACTTGTATACAGGTGATTTTGTCATCTCCCTGGAGCTCGTATCCTGGGTCACACTGAAAGGACACTGAATCCCCCGGCTCACGGCCATCTCCACTACGACTGCCATTCATTGGTACACCTGGGTCCCTGCAGGCTGTAGCTACTGAGCCTGGACAGAGAGGGGACAGGGAGAAAGAGGAGAGAGTGGAGGAGAAAGAGGGGAGAGCAATTATAAGAATCTGTGTCACGATGGATATCTATCTATAGCTAATGCATTAGCTCAGTGTATGAAATCAGTATTGATTCAATTAACTGTTTACTATCCTGTATTATGAAATATCTGCTAAGATCATTTCCGGCTGGTACAGTGAGACTTTCAAGTGGGAAACTTTTGCAGATTTGGATTATTATGTGAAATGTTAATAGTCAGATTTTTAGTCAAATGAAAGACCCATTAGAAAAAAACATTCAGTTTCATAGAGAAATAGTATTAGTTGCTCTTTGGCACCCTGAAAACCTAGTACAATCTTACACTCATTAAATACATATTAAAAGAGAAATAATACAGGGAACATCAGAGATATAAGGTAACAACTCTTGCAATCACGTTTCTTAGTTTAAGTATGTTTAGTACATTGGTTCTGGACGTTACTTACTAGAGAACTGAATAGCAAATCCAGACTTGCTGATGTAAAAATCAGTCTCAAACTGAACAGTGACAGTGTTCAGTGTGGAGTGGATTCCTTCAGGTAGCAGAGAACCACTGAGTTCTGCCAGAGACATTTCATTCTCCGGTGGTCCGTCCCAAACCTTCAGCATGTCGTGGCTGGCCTCCGTGTCAAAGGACAAGAACTGAAGACTGTAATTTGCATGAAAAAATCAACAGCATTAATATTTTCATTCAATCAGAAAAGCATTTTCTCATAGTCTGTTCCAAACTTTTCCAACTTCAAAACTTCTTCTTAGTGTAACTAAAGACTCTCTGTGAACAAAGAAACATTTTTATAAGAACCTTATTGTTTTTTTGTATTGTTATTATTGTATTTTTGGCACACCACACATTTTACAGGTAAAGAAGAACTTCCACAACAACTGCCGAATCTGTTTACAATATCCTCATCAAATAAAAACAAAATGCTCCTTATTGTAATTCAACAGGTACAACCGAGCTGCAATGCAGACTGTGCACACTAAATCATCATTATCTTCATTGTCACATTCATCATACATAATCACATATACAGATTAGCTATTAACATAACTCAGAGGAAATTATTTCTCACTAAAAATACTACTAAAACTAATGACACTGTAATTTTAACGTTACTCCTGAGGAGGCCCACATTACCTCACAATGTTTCCTGAGTCCACCTCGATGGTCCAGGTGCAGCGTAGATTGTTGTCATAAGGAAAAGGGTATCCAGGAGAAAGGATCCTCCCTGAAGACTCGCCTTTAAAACGACCACCACACTCCGCTACAGGAATCACACACACACACACACAGGTAAGAGACATTAAAAAAAGACTGTTAATATGTACTAATTTACACACCCACACAAATATATTACATCTCAATCTGTCTGATTAGGACACAGTGACAACGTTATAAATACCATCAATTCAGCATAACAAATGGCCAATTGATGAGTGTGTATGTGATGTTGTGTATGACCAGTTATCTGTCTGTGGTAATTGTTTATCAAGGCAATCAGATCCACTAGGTGCACCTCAGTAGCCACTGAGCAGTGATTAAACGATCCATGTAGACAAATAGATTAAGGAAGAAGCTAGCTCTCTTCCTCTGTGTCCCTCTTTTCTTCTCACTCTTTCTCACGCAGAGAAAGAGAAGAGGAGATAAAGTGCTGATCCTGCATTCATCCTAAAAGAAACCACCACACATTATATAACAGAATATAATTCCCCCTTCTCTCTTTGTCTCTCTCGGTTATATATTTTCACAATCTTCATCCCCTCTCTGCTTCCCCTCCCCATGTTTCTCCTCCCTCAGGCTCTCCTCCCTTCGTCACTAGAATACATTATCTCGAGTAATAGGAGCAATATTAAGAGTTTGGACGGAGGAAAAGGAGAGAACCAACGGGGGTAAAGAAGGAAACACTATGAGTAATAATAAGAAGCAATATAATATTAAGACTTGAAGTTAGCTGAGGTCACGGTGTGTCACTGCTAAAATATAAAGTCAGAGAATATCAGCCAGCGGTTTTATGAGTCTTTCATTATTGATAGTGAGAAGGAGAGAGACTTATTAAGCTGAATCCAAAATCAGAAAGTTCAGAGACAGCAATGAAGGAAGAAAGGTCCTTAAAACATTGGGCTTGCTGTTATGCTTATAGCTCCCATCTGGAGCACAGCTGCGGCAGCCATTTTGTGTGTCACTCTGGATAGGCCTAGCATTTGGGTTTAATTAGAGAATGTAATCATTCAACCAAATACCTACTCGGAAGGACTGTCTCCAAATAAACCAATACTATTCAAATCAGAGCATCAGAGCATTTTGGTCATTATATATCAACATACTGATGAATGTGTGTGCGTGTGTGTGTTTATGTATGTGTGTGAGTTATGGAGCCCTGATGCTGCATAGCCAGTAAAAGACCATTATTGACTTGTGGACATCAATATTCAGAGCTGTGGTTTGTATTTTCCCATCAGTTTAAAGCCCTGAAAAATAAATTAAAAAGGCAATGCTGTTATAATGGAATAGTTGGAAATATGTCAAGTTGCTTCCCAGTAGATTTTATTGTTTCCCTAAAATGACCTGTGATTTGATACAGTGGTCTGTAACAAAAACAAATCGATTAAAATGTGTTCATGAAACAATGCTAACAAACAAGGTTTGTCACTTAGCCCTTTATAGAGTAAGAATGACATAAATAGAGATTAAAAACAAACATAAAATAAACAAGGTTGGGTCTCTGTTTGTCTGTAAATGTGTGTGTGTGCAGAGCATTGGGGGATCAAGAGGGCAGTCTGCAGGAACAGAGAGCAAATCACCCACTGCAAGAAAAGAAATGGATCAATTGGGCAGAGGGAGTCCAGGTGGTAAGCTGTCCTAAACAAATAGGCTTTTCATTGAGACTTTAAAACTACCGCAGTGTGTGATCTCATGAGAAAATCAAGAAGGCGATTCCACAGGAAATTGGCCTCCACCTGCTTTCTTTTCAGATTATTGAATGAATGTCTGTGAGCAGAGACTTTGCATGAAGCAGAAAAAGTGACTCTACTGAATTTTAGAGCAAAACTTGGTACAGTAATGCATCCTGCTACTTTAAAAGGTGTATGTGCACCAGCTGAGTTCTGGGTAAATAAGATACTCCAGCCTGAGAACAGCTTGATGCCATAATCAGTTCTGGAAGAAAAGAAAAAACACCCCAAAGAGACGAAGGGTCTAATTATTTGATATTTACTCACTGAATATATCATGCTGTTGATTTTTTGCCTTGAAAAAAGCTCGGTTTTAAAATAATACTAATACGTTCCATGGGTCTGGGGTAGCTGAGCAGCAACAAATATGTCTGCAGAAGTGTTATGAACCCTCCTAACCTTTCCCTCTCAAGCTAATTAAAGAGTGTTATTCAAGGTTCAACCCATAATTGTGTGAGTATGTGCCTTTGTGCGTCCATATACACCTGTGTGTGACCTCTTTTCAAAGTGGAAACGGCTTCCTGTAGTAAAAGACATACCAATACAAGAAGGCAGAGGGTTATCCCAGGCCCTCCTTTCTCCTGTCATACACTTCAGAGTGGAAGCCCCATGCAGTGTGTATCCAGGCTCGCATCTGTATGTGATGCTGCTCCCAGAGAAATGGCCTTGGTCGTTGACCTTGAAGCCAAACTGAGGCACGCCAGGGTCCTCACAATGAGACAACTCAAAACCTAGAGAGAGAAAAAGACAGGGAAAGATCACATTTACAGTGTGTACTTTTTAAAATACTTGCTAAGGGACATCTAAGAACCACTAGAGAAAACAGAATTAGTGTTGTTTAGATGCACAGCAATATTCCCTTAATATCTGGCACACTCAAGTATTCTGTTTATGGGCTTGCTGAGATCACACATCCTGTTAAGTTCTCATCCTGATTTAATACAAAAACAGGAAAAGATACATAAGACATACCAATATTAGGAGCGATATTGGAGCATGTATACACCTTATCCAATTTAATGTTGTTTTTCACTCTGTCTAAGCTGAGTTTCCATGGTAATATTCAGAATATTCTGTTTATTCATGTGCACAATTTTGGAGAGCGGGATATGAAGAGGTATATAAATAGCTTATCCTCATAAGACCTTAACCAGGATTTGATCTATGGTATTACCTGGAAGACGAGGTGCAGCAGGATTTAAGTTATCTCCTGGAAGACTGCAGTAGGTGCATGTCTAAATCCTTAAAAATGGCTATTTGCAAAGCTGTACTTTTACCATTTGGCAATCTGAACACATCAGCCATCATCCCGACGTCTAGTGTGAGTAGTTGCCCATCTGAAAATGTTCTCCGTATGTTTGACATATATCACCATCATGCATTATTCATTGAATCCCACCTCCGAGTTTGATTGAATTCCAGCCTTTATATCAAACTTAACTATAAACACAGAGAGGCATTCAGTAGTTCTTCATTTCTACATACAAAAAATGCTGCTGCAATGTTCTATAAGCCAATGTCTTTTGTTTGTATGGCAAAATAACTTCTATTTGCATCAGTATGAGGTGCAGAGGAGGAGGCAGTGCTCCGCTCTACTCACAGAACAGAGACAATACAACTTAAAAGTGCTATGCAAATCATCGTACATGACTCCATTTAAACAATTAGATTTTCTAATTCCAACTATGCATCTAAGAGGGCACTGCCAAACGTGGGTGTGCTTTGGTGAACATCAGAACGCACCTTTAACACCCGATCCTACGCTGGAATCGGAGCTCTTTGAAAGCTTTGTTAATCAAATGTGACAAGCTTTCTTGTGATCATGTCAGTGGTGGAATTTACAATCAGTTCTGTGATGGTTTCACAAATGAGAACTATTTAGAGTTTAATTGATTCAGCAAGTATAAGTTACATTTGTCAGGAATTAGTACAGCTGGCAGGTGCCATTTAAATGCTGAATTTATTTGACTCCAATACTGACTAGCTTTATGTGGTGTCATTGTCCACTCTAGTTTTGCGTAGTTTAACAACATATGACATGTAGTAATGTACATGTAACAGATCCTAGTTATTATAACATAAAGACCTGAGAATACATTATAATGCAATAACAGCAAACTACCTGAACAGTCCAACTAATCAATTCCAGCGTGTGTTTTTGTTTTGTTTACGTTATTATCGTGCAAGCTAGCTGTGTTGGGTAAACCGCATGGAGGTCCTGCAAATATGTTTCAAATTCAAACTAATTTATAGCATATAAATACTTTCTTGTCCATTAAAGCTTGCTTATATACACTGCAGGCTAGTCCTCTATACATGCAAGCTATATGTCTGAGAACAATGCAGATATTTTTTTTAAAGCTGAACATTTAGTTGTAATGAAATTTACACAAGATAAATACCATACCAGAAACATACCAGTTGGAAATAGAGGTTCCAGTTGTTATATATGAAGTTAAAGCTTAGCTGTGTGCACTTACTCGAGTAGACCAGTTTGAATCCTTCCCCTGTACTTTCTGCATCACTGTAAAATTCCAACCAGAGATGGTTTGAAGTGGAGATCAGCGTCAGGCCCAACATAGACGATCCCGTGAATGCCCCGAGAACATGGGCTGTGTTGTCTTTACCGTCATAAATCTGTAATAACAACAGCACAATGCATTCCAGATGCAAATACAACCAGTCAACCACCATAATAAACAACCACTGATGGTCAAGTTTACTTTTCAAATGTCAGGCAGGAAGAATGATGGAGAAATCCCCAAATGTGTGTGCATGTGTGTTTACCTTGAGTATATCCCCTTGGGCCAGATGAAAGGTTCTAGCAGAGATGTTGATGCCTTTCCCAGCCTGCACCTAGAGTAAACACAAAATCCATATTAGATTCATTAAACAACAAAGTACACATCACAAACTTTTGAACACGGTTATTAACTTCCACCCTTTTTTAATTTAAATGTAGTCGTTATTACCCTTGGTTAGGTTACACAGATTTGTTACCTGGATGCTATAGATGCACTCGTGGTTGTTGTCATAGTTCATCGGGTAGTTTGGAGAGAGAAGGATCCCTTCATTGTTGATAACTGAAGAACCACACTCAGCTGATGACAAACACAGAATGATGAGAATTAAATAAAGATAAAGATGGTTTGATTCATAAGAGTTTTAGAGAGATACTGTAAGAGCATGTGGGAAAACAAACCATTTGTTACCCCACAGACAATGGCTTTCAAAACTTTCATTTGACAAAAAGTTGCTATTTGCAGCTTAAGTTTCTCTCCTTAAAATCTGTTTGGTCCTACAGTATAAAACTTTTAGTCCAGAGTGACTTTTCCATCTTGCAGAAGATGATGATTTCTTTTTGTCCTAGAAATAGATGAATACTTCTAATGTGGGCTTGTGTCTATGCGTGTAATTTAATAACCCTTTGAAACCTTTGAACAGCTGTATAGTCCGCCATCTACTTCCTTTGAGGAGAATGGGTAGGCAGTAAAATTCAGAAACTAATTTACCTAAAGATACCTTATCTCTGCACTTCTCACATGTGCCCTCTATCTACAGTATCCATGTCCCTTTTCTCTCTTTTCCCCTCCCTCTCTGTGTCTCTACTGGTGTAATAGTCATATTACAGCTGTCATATCGTCAATAAATCACGCTGCTACAGTTTCCATTTAGAAAATTACCTCTCTACCCTCTCCCTCTTTCCTCTTTAACTCCCTCACTCTTGCTCTTTCTCTCTATGAATAGTGCCTCCTTTAGCCTACTCTACTTCAATCAACCTTCCTCTTTTCCCGAGTTTCCTCTTCTCCTCTCCCTCCTCCTCTTTTTTCCCTGTTCCTCTATTCTCTTTTCCCTCCTGCTCCGCTCTCCTTTCCCTTGGCAAAAGTGCTAAATAAAAGATAATATCCAGAAATAATAAAAGACTAACAAAAATAAGCCAAAGGCACATTTGATTTTCTGTAAAAAAGATGTTTCTATTTCTTTGGTACCTTTCCAACTCCATCCTGGACAGCGCTTTGTGAAAACAATATGTTTGACCCGATATGGAGGTAAAGAAAGCCTCATGCAAAACCACAAACACAGGCCAATAAAGCAATACTTTAAAGTATATCTCTTAGTTAATAGAAATTACTAAAAAGGTGTTCTAATCGTCCCTTTCCTGTCCTCTTCGCTATGTGCGCCACATCACGCAGCAGTGCAACTAAATATAGCAAACCGCATTACACCATAGAACACCGGCACGCAACACCACTCCCACTCTTGGCATTATCAGTCTTAGCACGTTGATGACAACGAGCCAAAGATGTGAACATGGGCCCTGCAAACACCACATAAAGCTGAAAATAAGATTGGTGTGTAAAATGTCCTCACGAGCAAGCTAAAATTAAAAAAGTTATATGCAGTATCTGCTCTTTTATTAGAACTGGATGGTTAATGTCTGCCTTTCTGCTCCTGTATCGTCGCACACTTTCCATAGCGCTGCTGAAAACAATCCTGTGAAGGAGTGCAGAAACATTTAGTGTTGTCTCTTTCGCTTTTATTTATTTTAATATTAATGTTTGGAACTGTAGAAACTTTCCACTTCAGTTTATTGAACAAATTTTTAAAGCACCCACGAACATGAAGAATCCTAAAATGTTCCGGTGTTAAATAAAAGTCATATAACTGATAATGTCCTTGACTGTGTAACTCATAATAATAAGGGGTGATACAGGATTGTGAACAGTCCAAAATTCTCTGCCCACTGGTGACTCACCTCGAAGAAATATCACTGACATTAACTGTTCATCCAGTAAGTGAAATTTGGCTCCTATAAATGTGGCTTTTCCAGACTACTGTTTGTGGAACTTCTATTTAGTTTAGATTCTGTTTCATTCACTGTATTTAATATACATTTTGGTACAATGTACATTAAACTTGACGTGAAAGTGTGGTGAAGTAGAAACACCAGACATGCTCCCTGTCTATTCTAAATAATCATAAAAAAAGTTTCACTTAGTCATTTACTTTTGTATTGTGCCATCTCCGCCTCTATCTTATAAAAGCAAACAGAGTTGGCCTTGTGCATCTGCTGGCTTTTGAACTGAAGCTACTGAGGTTTATAAAAGGCAAGCGCTCAGGTCTATTGCTTGTCACAATGCGGGAAAATGTTTCTGCTTTGCAAAGAACCTCAAGGCATCAGCAGCCAAGCAGCTCAACGTGTTTTCTGGTCACTGAAGGCCAACGTTCTTTCCATTCGTCTGTTACATAATTCAAATCTTATTGGTTTTTGTTTGTGAAGCAGAAGATAATTGTGAAGGTAATATACACATCATCACTGTAATGATAACAAGGGAAGACAACCTATTCACTATGTTCTTATGAGTGTCAGTAAGTGCTGGTACAACATTCTGAAAGATTAAATACAAACATGGCTTGGTAGTGCTTTGAACAGATGTGCTATACATACAGTGAATGCTATATGTACCACTTGCAATTTACAGCGCTTGCAGACTAAAAATCTGCAATTCCAAATCTCAAATGTCTTCATATGTTTAGAATTTTTTCTTTTTTTTTTTCAGCCACAACCCTTTACAAATATTTAGTATTTTATTCTAAAGAGGGACAGGAGGTTAGATCATATCAAAATAAAATATTATTACCACATACCGACACATCTTGGTAGAGGAGCGCTCCACATTCTCCGCCCTCCTCCCAGACAGATCAACTCAGGCGCCCCCTCTAGGCGGTAACCCATATTGCAGGAAAAAGACAAAGTGTCTCCAACGCCAAAGCTGTAGCCGTTTCTCCTGCCGAACCGAGGCATCCCAGGGTCCTCACATGGCTCCAACGTATATTCTGCAGATCATAAATTGAAACTGAATAGATAACACATACATAAACATTAACATTAAAAACACACTACATGCACTCTGAAATCTGCCCTTTCTATGATCCTGGCTAAAAACTAGTGCAGGAAAATACAATTTTCTAGGCTGATCTATTTTTTTTTAACCACACTTTTGCTGAGTGTTGCATAAGGGCCATAACAGTAAGTGAGAGGTGATGAGATTAGAGTGCAAATAAGAGTGTACTCTCCTAATGGTGTTAAATCAATAAATCAATACCCACTCTCCATGAAAATCTACTGTATTATCTAAAATAAAACAACATAACTACTAAATGTTTGAAAACACCTCATGGCCATGATCTACCTTGTGTACAATTGTGATAATTAGTACAAAAGTTATGAGTTGACACTGTGTCCTGAAATGCACTTGCTGATTTCGTGTTTAGTGTGGTACAGCAGGAGATTTATTTCTAGTGGGCTAATACTGATGATGTGATGTGTATTTCAGAGTGTGCTGCAGGATGACACAGCCTGTTGAGCATGTTGAGATTGGCAAGTCACATCTCTGGTGACACCTCCCATGTGTTACATTCTGAGTATCAGCTTATGCCATCTGGGACGCGGTAAAACATCCTTCAGTGTAGACTCAGATTCAAGTGCTCCTTTATTTTAGAGTCAATGAGAGAGCATTGAAAGGGCTGTTAGGCAAAGGATTTTTATTTATGAGGGGCAGATGTAACCTTGGCTCTTTGACCCTTTCCTTAATTTTGGATAAGGGTGTTGATGAAGTACCACAGCTATGAATTGGGAATGTACACATTCTCAGAACAACACCGCTGAAGCTATGATCTCTTTTCTTGTGTTGTTGAATGATGGATTACGTTCAGTTTAATGTTGTGTAACCTCTCTGCTCTGGTAAGCTTTTTTTTTCTTGAGCTATTCACATGGTTTTATGGGTAGTCCTCGAGGCCAGTGGTGAAATATCTCTGTTTACAGGGAGAGTGAGAGCTAAACATTCACTTAAAACAGCAACAGTTTTGTGTTGAGTGGCTGTGCCATGCAGGGTTACGTGAAGCTGTTCACATGTGGCACAAGAAGACACAATTTCCTCAGAACAAAATGTACCGAAGACTATAGTCCTATTTCTAAATTGCCATTCAAAGCTAAAGTTTTGGAAAGCTAAAGGAAGTTTTGCTGTGCATAGTATTCTACAATTTTCACTCATAGCTGCAGTAGGTTGCACTCTCCGGTGACATGGTTGCATAGTGATGTAGGAGCTTGGATTTTCTGGATTTCAGTGCAGATTTTGACACTGCTGATCACTCTATGCTGACTGATATAAGATGACTTATGTAAGCAGTGGGTGGGTATATCTGGATCAGCCCTGCAGATCCCTGTGACTCTGACTCAAGGTGTTCCCCAAGGCTCTGTTTAGCATCCCATTTTTTGCATTGTATACACTTCCCCTTGTTGCAGATGTAGCTTTGAAGAGTTACTCAGCACTGTATTTTTAAAAGAGGGAAATCACAGCCGCGCTGGCCTCTACAGGTAGAAAGGTGTAAGTCTCTCGAGACAAAGACTAGAACCAACATCACAGCTGGGTAAGGTCAGGTGTGCTATATATTGGCTGGGGGAGACTGAAGGGGCATGAAGACTGACTGGTCTTTATTTATCAAGTATCTGGAATGCTCAGATTCAGGTAATGTAGCAAAATTATTATTATACATGCCGATAAAACAAAGACTTGTTTAATACAAACTGAACAAGCGTGTAATGAATGGTACGTGTATGTGCCCATCTGGTCTATACTATGTTCTGTAAAAAGCATAGCATACCTAGTCTTAGGATTCTAAGACTAGGTCTAGTTACTCTTTAAATATATAATATTTAGCAATTATGCAGATCCAAATATACATCTTATTTAATCATCAAAATGTGGGGATAAGCGAAAAAGATTTCATTTTTTCGCTTAACCCCAATCAGAAATTGGATGGGAAATAATCTCAGAGCATTTAATCCTTATAAATATTGTTATTGTGCCCCAGTTAGCCATGTACTCGGCCTTGCTCCTTGTCAGACACCCACCTACATTAGTGAGCTACTTCAGCCTTACATATGTGGAAGCCTTTAAAAAGCAGTTCAAGACTCACCTATTTCACCCAGCCTTTGTTCGTCTTCCTACACTTGTATGGCGTCTGTCTGTCATTTGTGTCAGATGTCATAAGTTGTTTTTTGAGTATAAAAGAAAGCTTGACTTGTTGAACTGAAGGTAAATTCTATGTAGACCTTGTTGGAGTATAACAGTATAATATGAGTAAAGTAAATTACCAGAGAAAGTTATGTTGAAGCCTTCATATGAAATGGAAAAGTCAGAGACGAATCGTAGCTGGGCTTTGAAGTTGCCATAGAGACCAGCATTGATGTTGCTAGGCAACTCGTTGCCGGTCAGACGAGCCAGTGGTTGCAGGAAACTCCCGTTCTCAGTAACCAAGAGGTAATCATGTTGGTCCTCCAGATGAAAAGAATTGAACTGAAACTGGACTCCTGTTAGAGACATACACACAATCTTTAAAAGTTTGTTTCATTCTCAGCTCATCAATATAGTCACAATTATTATAAGTATAAATAATTTTAAAGTGTGCTATAGCAGACCCGAATTCGGCATCATGACAGGTTACAAAATACATAAAACATTCTCAGATTATTACTTCTCTCAATATAATAATATATAATATAATTCTCTCATGCACTGCCTATAGCCACATGTATAAATATGACTGTAAATATGCCCTTCTGAATATGCTATAAACCATGATAACAGTAATCCAGTAATACAAGTTTGTGGTTGTAGTATATCAGCAGCTGCACTACACTAGTGTGTGCTACTAGCTACTGTCTCTCACTCTGTCTCTCTCTATTAAGGAGTGTGAATCTTTGTGTGTCTCTTGCCTTTCCCGTGGCTGACTTCAACAGTCCAGGTACAGTTGAGAGATGAAGGGTAGCTGTCTGGATAGCCGGGACTAAGGATGGTTCCCCAGGGACCTCTAACATCCCCGCCACATAGCGCTGGATAGATTGAGAGAGACAGAGTGGGAGAGAGAGAGGCAGAGAGGGAGAGAAAGATGTGCAGAGACAGGGGACAGATGCAGAAAGAAGGTTAGCACCAGATTGTTGATTGCTTAAACAGATAATGTTTCCTTGGGGACCTTTCATACCACTTCTATAGTACATACACACATGCATACCCAAACACAAAAGTGACAGGAAGGGAGAGGTAGACAGAGACAGATACAGGGAGAGTGAGAGATCCTCTAAAACTTGGGGATATAAAAGTCTGCATGCACCGACAGCTGCAAAATTTGTGTTTTTCTGATTTATTCCTCCCACAGACATAAAATAATGACATAAACAATGTAAAATCCACCACACACTGGAATTATAAATAATGGATTATTTGCTGTTGATATACTTTAATGTCCCTGAAACCAATGTCTGACAATGATTAACTGCATAGGTGATTCTAGTCATTCCTCATTTATGTTGACAGTGCATAATAAGGCTGTGAGATTAACTAAAACTATTTTTATTTTTCTGTTGAAAGAAAAGGATCAGTTTAATTACTGGTATTTGAGTTATACAAACTAAGACAGCTCTCAACACATCTGTTGTAGGTCAAAATATGTGGCAACAATGATGACAATGATCTACCAAATGATAGCACCTGTCTCTAGTAGAACAAAGGGTACATTTAATCTTCTCTGCTTAGCCATAATTAGCTCAACCTGCTAATTTAGTTTCTTCCATATTGCACTGATTTATCACGACTTCTCCATAAATGCATTACTGAGCATGATTGAACTTGATTATATTTCAGAGGCACTTTGTAAATACATATTTTGAGTTAATTCTGTTTGTGTAAAACAACAAATTCAAAGACAATCAAAAAATATGCAGTGGATATGTTGTGGCGCCAAGGGATGAGGGAAAAGTTATCAGAGTAATTGGAGTTACTGGCTAAAATGCAAAGTTGCTTGTTATATAACAAGTGACCATCTGGACAATAAGTGTACTCTCTTTTACTGAGAAGTGTGGGAGCAATAAAACCTATTTGCAAGATTTGGTTGCTTTGGGGTGTGCAGTCTCTGAACTCCAAATTGTTTTGTGGAAAAAAACTGAGACATCAAATAAAAATACCAAGAAAAACAATGCTTGAATATTATTTGAGCTAGTTTTCCACAACATGCTGTGCAATAGCTGCACAGTGTGCAAGAACCGTAAAATGTCTTTTGTTTCTGAAATATTTTGTCTGTTAATACCGTTTGATTTCAAAGGATTATTTTAAAGCAGTGAAGCAGTGCAAATATTTCTAAGAGACTACTTACAACATTCTGATCTCTCAGTACAGCCTCAGGATGACCCTGCAAGTTCTGCTCACGGTTCAGCTGCGCACATTGTTATGCAGTAAGAGACCTGCGCTTGCACTGAGATGCTCCGAGTTGAGACCAGGTCTTCGGAAGGATTTGGAAAAATCAGTTGCTCATACTATGCATACTAATGCATGCATGTGTTGCAAGGTGCTTCATTTCTGCTCGCTTCAGTTGGTTCATCTTACAGTTGGCCGACTGGCCTGTCATTTTCTCTTACAATAAACCTATAAAATGCCATAACATTACCCCAAAAATGCAACGGTGGCAGAGCACCAGTGAGAAGGTCAAACCTGAAAGTTCTCCTGAAGTTTCCTTGAGCAGGACAATTAACCAGTTTAAGTGGGAGCTGAGAACTACCAACTCTCAGCACTGCAGTCCAGACTACAATATGTACACACCCTCCGCAATGATGACCTCCACTACAACCACATCAGTCAGAAATTGAAAATGTGCTCAAACCACAACTGAGTAGTAGCTTCACTCTCAACCACAACAGTTTTTACAACCTCAGCATCTGCCTAAACAAGGGTGAGAATTTTTACAAACTAAACAAGTACAAGCACAAGTGTGTGTGTGTGTGTGTGTGTGTGTGTGTGTGTGTGTGTGTGGATGTGCGTGCTTGCTACATGCACGCACACACACAGCCTGACACACACTCGTGCACAAAAGCTTGCATGCACACACACATAGTGATATTAATTATTAATACTTTTCTGCCAGCAAGCTCCTAACGTTGAATGCTGAGCTATGTGAGAAATTTGAAACACTGCATTATATCTATCTCTGCCAGTTTTGTTCTCTCTATCTTGTTCTCTTTCTGTCTATCTTTCTCTTAGATCTCCATCCATTTTGCTTTTTTGAATGATGTTGGGTTTAGTGATCCCACTCTTCCATCAATCAACTATGGCTGATAAAGTAACTTGAATCATAGTTTGATTAATTTAAATTCATATAATTGCTACAGCTTGGAGAAAGTCTGGTTTATAGAGGTCATTCTTTTTATATAAATGATGATGAAATATTAAATAAACTATTTTGTTTCAAAATCTAGAAATCTTTTCAGTAAACAACATCTGATTTCTGCCACATTTTCCAGGGCTGAGCTGTCTTGCTTGAACCCATCATGTACTAGCTGTCAATCATCAGGTAGACCATTTCTTACCAACCACAGAAGCAAATAGTTCCTATATTTGTTGTTTACATATTGTGTAAACATAGTCTAATGGTATTCAGCCCACAAATTCCGGGAAGCATGCTTGATGTTTATATGCTCAAACTGCCTCCTCGGAGGAAACCACTGCCAGTCCCAAGAATTGTGCAATTCAAATGTGGTTAACAAGCGAATGAGCCAATAAGCCGCACCAAGCAAGCCACCACAAAACTGATGCAGCAGTGCTGCATCTCTCCTTCCTCCCTCTTCTCCTGCACCCCAGTGATAGGAAAGAGAGAGAGAGAGCAAGAGAGATCCTCCTCCTCCCCTCAGCTACAACCCCCCTCCTTGATTTGAGAGAGAAGAGAGAGGAGGTGACAGCCAACACAGGCTCTCGTCAACCTTACCTCAAACCTTCCTGTGTTCACGGTTCACACAGGAGAAGAGGTGACAGGAGGCACATGGATAAAAGAACCACAGACACACATGCACATACAGGCACACGCACACATATATGTGCTGACATACAGTACACATGCGCAGACACACACACACACACACACACGCACACACAGTGTACATGCCCACAGATCTCTAATCTTCTCCTGAAATCATCCCCTATCAGCCACAGCAGCCTTCACTGCAAATTGCCCCTGCGTACACCCAAGTGTGTGTGTATGTGTGTGT